GGACACTGAGGATGGTCCCTGAGGGTTACTGGTCTGAGACGGAAAATTCCTAGAAAATAGAACAAAACCTTCCGTAGTGTCCTCTCTAGTAAACAGTGTAGTATATAGTAAACACAATAGTATTATACATTCCTTTCCCTCTTTCCTCCAGGCCTTCACCCTGCCAGTGGCTCCCTGACGATCTAGCCGAGCAGAAACCGGTTTGGCTCAGTGGATAGAGTGTCTGCCTGCAGACTGGAAGGTCCTAGGTTCGATTCTGGTCAAGGGTGTGTATCTTGGTTGCAGGCACATACCCAGTGGGGGGTGTGCAGAAGGCAGCTGATCAGTGTCTCTCTTCGATGATGTTTCTAACTCTCTATCCTTCTCCCTTCCTCTCTGTAAAAAATCAATAAAATATATATTAAAATTTTTTTTTAAGAAGGAAAAGAAAATCTAGCCAGGATACTGGTCTGTGGGCAGAGAGGATTTCATTTCACACAGTATTGTTTTTAAACATATTTTTATTGCTTTCAGAGAGAAAGCGAGAGAGGAAAGAGAGATAGAAACATCAATGATGAAAAAGAATCATCGATTGGCTGTCTCCTGCACACCCCGTTCTGGGGTTGGAGCCTGCAACCTGGGCATGTGCCCTTGACTGGAATCGAACCCAAGATCCTTCAGTCTGCAGGCCGATGCTCTATCCACTGAGCCAAACCAGCCAGGGCCCACACAGTATGTGTATGCATAGCCATGGTCTGGAGGCTGCACAAGATCCTGGAGGGGATGCAGCGGTGACTGAGACCATCCTCTCCGCTTTAGAGGTTTCAGTAAAAAAATCACTGGGGTGCAGGAAGGGTGCAGCGGAAGAAGGGTGAACACTGGGTGCTGGGAGCACGGGGTCGGGGAGGAACTTCATGCTCTCCCCGGAGGGCATGAGTTAGTTGCAATCGAAAAAGAAACACTTTCCAGCTGGCCATCCTAAGATGTACAAGAGAGGGAATGCAACTCCCGGCTTATGATGCCGAGCAGTAGGTACCCAGAGTCTCACACAGTTTAAGCAGGAGGTGGGCGTCAGGAGCTGCTGCTGGGGACGTCCTTTCCAAAGCACAATAGAATCAAACCTGGGATCTTTCAGTCCACAGGCCGATGCTCTATCTGCTGAGCCAAACTGGTTAGGGCTGGTGAAAATATTTTTAAGCATCACTTCTGTGATCATCTTTGGTGAATTTCAGGGCCTCAATTGGTAGTGGGGTTAGCAAATGCTGCCACATTCAATAGAGAAAGCGCCCTCCTTTCTCTAGTACACACTCCGTCTCGATTTCAGAAGCCCAGGAAAAGTACATCCGTGAGAGACCAATAAAGATGTTAGCGGAGGAGAGAGGAAGTAGACTGGGTATAGATTCCAGAGATTTAAAACGAGATGAAGTGATTCCTGAGGTATGCTTGGGATAGGTCATTCGCTGTATTGGTTGCTATGCCCGGGCACGTAGTGGCAATAAAGAACGCGTGTCTTGTCATGTCCTCTCCGGGGAAACAATGCGCTGTGGATTCCAGCCAGGGCTGAGAGATTGCCACCAGCTTTCCTCCTAACCCAGAGGCCGTAAGTACCTTGTTCTAGGGCCTGCTCAGGCGTATTTCTCTGGACCTTGAATACCTGCTGATGATTAAGTCTTATTACTGGGCACTAAACGTCTTTGCCCCAATAAGAGCCGTGGTGAAGGTATTTCTTTTTAAAAAATATATATATTTTATTGATTTTTTACAGAGAGGGAGAGGGATAGAGAGTTAGAACCATTGATGAGAGAGAAACACTGATCAGCTGCCTCCTATTGGGGATGTGCACGAAACCAAGGTACATGCCCTTGACTAGAATCAAACCTGAGATCTTTTAGTCCGCAGGCCGACGCTCTATCCACTGAGTCAAACTGGTTAGGGCTGGTGAAAATATTTCTAAGCATCCCTTCTGTGGTCGTCTTTGGTGAATTTCAGGGCCTCAATCGGTAGTGGGGTTAGCAAATACTGCCAAATTCAATATACAGCGACTCTGCATTTTATTTTTATTTTTTTAAATTTTAAGGTTTCTTTATTTATTTTAAAAATCCTCACCTGAAGATATTTTTCCATCAGTTTTTAGGGAAAGTGAAAGAGAGAGGGAAAGACAGAGAGAAATATTGGTGTGAGAGAAACACATCAATTGATTGCCTCCTGCATGAGGCCTGACCAGGGCCTGGGCTGGGGAGGAGCCTGCAACCGAGGAATGTGCATTGACAAGAATGGAACCCGGGACCCTTCATTCTCCAGGCCAAAGTTCATCCACCGAGCCAAACCAGTTAGGGCTGCATTTTATTTATTTATTTATTTTATTTTTTAAAAATATATTTTATTGATTTTTCACAGAGAGGAAGGGAGAGGGATAGAGAGCTAGAAACATCGATGAGAAAGAAACATCGACCAGCTGCCTCCTGCACACCCCCCACCAGGGATGTGCCCGCAACCAAGTACATGCCCTTGACCGGAATCGAACCCGGGACCCTTCAGTCCACAGACCGACGCTCAATTCACTGAGCCAAACCGGTTTCGGCTGCATTTTATTTTTAAAGATAGATTTTCCTCTAAGATTCAGTTCCCACATATACAATAATTACAAGTCATTTAACAAGCGCCCAAAGCAAATTTGATTTGAGATAGTCCTCCATAGCTAAGGCTAAGATTGGAATCCGTGTATCTGGAGGGAAAATGACCCAACAAGATAACAAAAAAAAGCACAACTGTTTTGGTTGACCAATATAACCACGACAGAATTTGCAAAAACAGGACCATCTGCTGTGTGAGGAGCCATGGAGAGAGATTCTGTATTTATAGAATCTTAAGTGGGAAAATCAGGCACGTGAATAAACTTTTTTCTCCTGAGTCCACTAATCTGAAATCGATTTTTCTTCTAGTTTCTGTCAACATACACTGTTGTTGTTGTTCTAAGTCAATCTAATAGCACACAGACTTGCTATGAAGAACAACTCCCAAAACAGGGCCTTTCCTAAACTGCATTGCAATTGACAATCCTGTCGGCTCAGTCTCAGGGGGTTATGATGCAACTGTGGACCCCGAGGCTGACTCAGGTGATCGTTGCTCACCAGGGCAGAGCAGGGTAGAACTCCACCACCATCAACTGTTCTTAATGTGGGCCTTTAAGAAGGAAGCTTCCTATAAACAAACGTTTCCAGTGGATGCACCTTAGCCGACCTGAGAAATTCTTATTTTTCCTCGTTTTTTTTTTTTTTTAATGGAAGCTATTGCAAAAAAAAAAAAAAATTATTATTAGGTGCCAAGAGTGGTAGGTGGTTTCATATATTCCGTGTTCCTTTAAAAACGCGTTATTTCTTACATCCTTTGGTAAAATTATTTTAGAGAATCTCACATCTTTTGATGGCGTTGCTTTTTACAGGAATACCTCTGTGTATGAGAATTACTCTGTATCATAGTGGAGGTTAGAAACCCAAGGGAGAGGTGGTTCTCTTTCAAAAGCCTATAATGAGAGGGTCATGTTTCACTCAGTGAATTCAAATGAATTTTACCCTGCCAAAACCGGTTTGGCTCAGTGGATAGAGCGTCGGCCTGCGGACTGAAAGGTCCCGGGTTCGATTCCAGTCAAGGCCATGTACCTCAGTTGCGGGTACATCCCCAGTAGGGGGTGTGCAAGAGGCAGCTGATCAATGATTCTCTCTCATTGATGTTTCTAACTCTCTTTCCCTCTCTATCCCTCTCTGTAAAAAATCAATAATATATATATATATATATATATATATATATGTATGTATATAATTTTTTTTAAATGAATTTTACCCTGAATCCAGTTGTAGGTGGGGGAGGAATATGGGACATCATTATTCACCAGGTGCCTGCTCTGTGCCACGTGATACCCTCAGCACATTAACATAGCCTGTATCTCTTCTAGTGTTCTCAGCAACGCTCATCATCACCTGCATTGTACCGGAGGAAGGGACTGAGGTTCAGAGAGGTTATTCAATTCACTGCAGGTCACACAGCTCGTACATGGGTAGGCACAAGCAGCTCCCACACTGGCCTGTCTTGGTTTCCTGTGAAGTAGAACAGGCAATCTATTTCGTGGAGGTTTTGTTCAGTTCAGCTAATCGACTGGCACATCCTTTCAGCTGCTGAATTATTTAAGGAGCCACGTGTGTGACCTGTTCCTTAGGAATTATAGCTAATGAAAACCTTATGGGCTAGAGGCTCTGCAGGGTGATGTATGCACCTGATCTCCTTTCATTAGTACAAGTGTAAGCGGTGGCGCTTTCTCCGTGTTATAGGTGACGAGCTGTCTTGGGAGGTGAAGAAAGTTGCAAAGATCACCGAGTTAGTGTGTGTGTGTGTGTGTGGGGGGGGGGGGTAGACTGTAAAACGCCGCGGGAAAAATGGTTAGAAATCGGGACTGTCCCGCCAAAAGCGGGACGATCTGGTCACCTTAGGAGACCCAGGACTGGACTCAGGTCTGACCCCAATGGCACCCGCGCCCCATGGGTCAGTCCCCAGGCTAGAGAGCCTCAGGGCGGCGGATTTAACATTTATCCAGGGTCTGCGGTGTCCCGGGGCCGGGCACGTGGACGGGGAAGCTGAGGTGGCGCCAACTTCTCCGTCCTCGCCGCGGGGGCGAAGGCGGCTCGGGCAGCACCCGGCTGGGCGGTGAGAGACGCGGTCCCTGGGGGCGCCGGGCGCGCCACCCTCCCACGGGCGGGAGGAACACCGGCCGGCGGCCCAGGCTCCGGCGGCGGCGGAGGTGCGGAGGGAGCGGGTCCGCGCCTCGCACACCGCGGGGCGGAGAGTGGCGAGTCAGAGGAGCCAGGGCAAACGCCGGCCAGCGCACCCGGGCGCACCGGGCAGGGGCGGGCGCGGCTCGGACCCCCGGGGAGCGGCGCCCGCGGCCACGCCCCCAGAAGTGACGCGGCGGCTACGGCGTCCGGGAGGGGCCCGCGCCGCAGGGGGGTTTACGACGGGCGGCGGCCGGGGCGACTGGCAGAGCGGCGGCCAGGAACGCGGAGCGCGCGCCCGCCCGCGTTTAGCGGCCCGACGAGAACCGCGCGCGGGGGCGGCAGGGCGGGGCGCAGGGAGATGCGGGCGGCCGCAGGCACCCGGCGGGCTGGGCTCGGCCGCCGCAGCCGCCTTGTCCGGCTCCGCCGCGGGGGCCGCCGTGGCTGCCGCGCCGTCCCCGAGGTGCCGGCGTGAGGAGGCGGCGGGCGGAGAGCGGCGTCCTGCGGGAGACGGAGACCCGGAGGGAGCCCCGCGCGCGTCCTCGGTGAGCGGCGCGGCCCGTCGGGGTCTCGCGGACACCGCCCTGGGAGCGCGGAGCGGGGCCGGGGGGCGGCGGCGGGGCTGAGCGGGCGGCGGGCTCCCCGGGGACCCTCCGCAGCGCTGCCCCTCGGGGTCCCGCCTGCCCCGCGGCGCGTGCAGGTGGAGCCGCTGCGCCCATCCGCTCGCGTCGCCCTGATTTTGTCCAGCGGGTCCCGCGGGCGCAGGGGGCGGTGGTTTGTTTGTTTGTTTTTGTTTGTTTTGCGGGGGGAGGGGGCGCCCAGCGGGGCTGTCGGGCCCCAGTGGCAGGAAGTCGGAAACTGAAAGTGCAGTCACTCGGCGCTCCTCGGGCCAGTGCGACGGGCGCTTCCTCCGGACTTTGATCTTCCCCGCGGCGCACGGTCCCCGCTGCCGCCTCCGCCCCGCGAGCTCGCGTTCATCCGGTGTCGAGTTTCGTGTCTTTCCCTACTTCAAACCTCCTCCCCCTACATTTTCCGCTTCACGTGGGAGCGGGGCCGGGAGCTGCTTCATGCCTAGGAAGATCCCTTGGGGTCATCTTTTTTAGGTAAGGTGACCAGACGTCCCGCTTTTGGCGGGACAGTCCCGAGACGTCTTTAAAAAAGTCCCGATTAAAAAAAAAAATTCTCTGCAAAAATCGGGACTTTTTTAAAACGCTGCGGGACAAATTGTTAAAAATCGGGACGTCTGGTCACCTTACTTTTAGGGGCGGAATATTAACTGGCTCTGCTGGGAAAGAAGAGGTTTTGTTTGGGGGGAAGATGCGCGCACAGTTGGCGATGATCCAGCTGATTGCTGTTTGGAGTTTAAATACAATATAAAGACGGAGTTGTAGTCATCAGGATGGTTCAGCCTATCTCTCAGGTGATTGGGTCGGATCTTCCCTCCACACTGCTTGCAAAGCAAAACTTGGTGCTTCCACATTGAAGACTGTCAGAGGTGTTTTCGTTAAAACGTAGTTAGGATTCAATCCCTCCCTCCATCTCTCTCCTCTTTGATTTTATTTAAGCATTAAAGTTATATAAGTGGAATTCATGACATTCCTAGGGAACTATTGGCTTCCAGTTGTATTGTAACATAGCAGTATACTTTTTAAAAATATATTTTTTTTTACATAGAGGAAGGGAGAGGGATAATCAGAAACATCGATCAGCTGCCTCCTGTACACCCCTCCCCCACTGGGGATGTGCCCGCAGCCAAAGTACTTGCCCTTGACCGGAATTGAACCTGGGACCCTTTTAGACACTATCCATTGAGCCAAACTGGTTAGGGTGCAGTATACTTTTATTTTAGTAATATTCTCTTAGTATAGGCTACTGTACAGTTAGACAGCTGGTTACTTTTTGACAACGACAATGTTTTGACTCAAGACAAGTCTTGATACATTTTATAATCCGGTGTTTTTATTTAAGCAGCCCGCTGAATTTGGAGACATTTCTTTTTCTGGGTCTTAGCTACTGTTTCTGAAAAAAAAGCTGGGCTGTGGGTCACCACAGCAACTGGACTTTGTGTATTATAAACATACTTAGGGTGGAAAAGTTGTCATTTAATAGAGACTTCCTTTCCCTAATAGTTTATTTCAACATGCTCCCTCTTTCATTGTAGCTCAGGGATTTGTCTACTGTCTTGGAAGCGTTAAGGTAGAATCAGTTGAGTTTTCACTATTTAGCCTCTCAAAAACCAGATTCCTTCATTTGGATCAGATGTTTCCTTCCCTCATATTTCTTAAAAAAAACACAAAAAAAACAAAAACAACTTTTAAAACTGTAATTGTAGGAAATGAGATTTTTGTGAGAAGAAAAATAAAGGGTTGTTTTTATTTTTTTGATTGGTAGGTGGCAAGAATAAAAGTATATTTTTTGACCCTTCATGTCACCTTTGTAATTTTAAAATGGTCTTCTGAAATCTTTTCCTTTTAGTTCTCTTTTATGACCGAGGAACTAAAATGGAGATTAAATTTAACCTTATACCCAGAGGTCCCCCAACTTTTCAAACAAGGAATAACCTGGTATCAAAATTGAGTGAATAAAATGTTTCTTTAAAGTGCCCTCTGAAGATATCCATTGTATGTTTGTGGGATTTTGTTTTTATTTTTTGCAAAAGAAAATTATCTTCCAGTACCTCAGTCCAAAACCACAATGCCATTTCTTTTATTCTCACAGCCTTCTATCCCAGAGTCTATCCCAGCATTTTCCACAGCAGTTAGGTTCTGCCTTAAAATCTCAAACAGCTGAGTACGCTCGCTCCCCAGTAACCAGCCTGTAAAGTACAGGCACCTGGGAAACACCTGTACTTGGGAAGCTCCCCTTGGCTCAGAGGCACCTGCGTGCTCACCGTGGCGCTGTTGATGCTGTTCTGTCTTTGCACGTACAGGTTGGCTGTTACAAATCTGTGCGGCTCAGGCATGAGCTATTGTACATGAGAGGTATCAAGACTCTAGGATTTGGTTTTGGGACTTTTCCCCAAAACATGGAATGATAGGTACCAAATTTGTAGTAGTCTTTACTTTCTTCTTTCCTTCCTGTCTTCCCTTCTCCCTCCCCCATCTTTCCATCACCATGATCATTGAATTCGAACATTCACACTTCTCCTATAAGCATTATTTTTTTTTTAATTTTTGTTAATTTCCGAGAGGAAGAGAGAAGGGGGAGAGAGAGAGAGAGTAACATCAATGATGAAAGAGAATCATTGATCGCCGCCTCCTGCATGTCCCCTAGACTGCAACCCAGGCACATGCCCTGACTGGAATGGAACCTGGGACCCTTCAGTCTGCAGGCCGACGCTCTATCCACTGAGCCAAACCAGCCAGAGCTAAAAGCATTCTTGATAATGAAGATGATATCTGGAATTGTAGAGACTTTTTCTTTGTCTTAGCTAAAACTTATAGGGCAGTGGTCGGCAAACCTCAGCTCACATGAGCCACATGTGGCTCTTTGGCCCCTTGAGTGTGGCTCTCCCACAAATACGGCCTGGGCGAGTCTGTTTTGAAGAAGTGGTGTTGGAAGAAGTTTAAGTTTAAAAAATTTGGCTCTCAAGAGAAATTTCAATCGTTGTACTGTTGATATTTGGCTCTGTTGACTAATGAGTTTGCCGACCACTGTACTAGTTTTAACAGGTTTAGAGTAACAAGCAGTTGTTTAAATGGGAAACACATGTAAGTTAAAAAGTAACTTACCTTGACCAGGTATCAGAAGAAGGTATCTGGTAAACTGGGAGAAATAACAGGGAAACCCCTCTCCCCTGCCCCCCAGTGCTTGATGGATAGAATATAATCTACTGTTTGAACCTAGTTTAAGGGAGACTTTGGGAAACTGGTTTCTAGTGGGCTTTGTTACTTAGCATTAAAGTAGCACTTCATAGTTGTAGGTTATTTAGTATCTAATATGTAATAGTTCTTTACACCCGACTGGCCAGGTGTGAATGCTTTTGTCCATAAAGGGACTACTTTTCCTAATGAACAGCTGGTGACCTGTGGTGAAAGGGAGTTGGATTCCTGGCTTCAGCTTCTCTGTGAACTGGGGAACTGTGGGAGGCATCTCCCCCTTTCTGTTCTTGGCTATTTCCCCTCCTCTGCTTTTGGGTGACAGTACCTCTACATAACCAGGCTTTCAACATGATAACTCTGAGGGTAGTTGGGGGACATTTTGAGTGTCTCAGAAAAGTTATAGGAACCCAAATATTTTCCACTTAAGGTCCTTATCTCTGCTCCTTTTTGGGAGCATGCATGGGTGACTCCTAAGGATCTTGGATTCATAGAGATGAATTATACCTTACTAGAGGCCAGGTACACAAAATTCGTGCACTTAGGGAGTGGGGTCCCCTCAGCCTGGATTTCAAGTGGGCGCAGGCCAGGCCTAGCGACCCCACTGGTACACGATCGCGGCTGGGGAGGCACATGGGAGGTTGGTCAGCCAGGAGGGACTGTGGGCATGTCCGACCCATCTCCCTCAGTCCCAATCAGCCAGACCCCAGCAGCAAGCTAACCTACCGGTCAGAGTATCTGCCACCTGGTAGTCAGTGCACGTCATAGCAACTGGTTGACAAGTCGACTGCCACCCTGGTGGTCAGTGCACATCATAGAGAGCGGTTGAATGGCCTTAGCATATCATAGCATATTACGCTTTGATTGGTTGAACAGATGACTGGACACTTGGCATATTAGGCTTTTATTATATAGGCTTGGATTGAGCTGCTCAGGCCTACCTTTTGTAATGTTTATAGTTAATGTTTTTAACATCTGTTGAGATATAATTCACATACCATAAAATTCACCTACCTAGAATGTAAAATTAAATGCTTTTAGTTTATTCACAGAGTTGTGTAACCACCACCACAATCTATGTTTAGAATAATTTAAATCACTCCATTACTACTCACTCTCCACTCTTCTTCCCAACCATCTTCATCCCTCAGCAACTGATCTGCTTTCTATGTCTAATAGATTTGCCTATTCTGGACATTTTATTGATATATAAATGGGATTACACAATACCTGTCCTTTTGTGTCTGGCTTCTTTCATTTAGCCTAATGTTTTCAAGGTTTATCCATCACTGTAGCATGTATCAGTACTTCATTCTGTTTTCTGGCTGGATAATATTCTACCATATGGTTGTGTTACATTTTGTTTATACAATTATTAGTTGGTGGACATCTGGGTTCTTTCTACTTTTTTTTTTTTTTAAATATATTTTATTGATTTTGTACAGAGAGGAAGGGAGAGAGATAGAGTTAGAAACATCGATGAGAGAAAGTCATCCATCAGCTGCCTCTTGCACACCCCCTACTGGGGATATGCCCGCAACCAAGGAACATGCCCTTGACCGGAATCGAACCCGGGACCTTTCAGTCCCCAAGCCGAGGCTCTATCCATTGAGCCAAACCGATTTCGGCTCTTTCTACTTTTTGGATATTATGAGTAATGCTGTTGTGAACATTCCTGTTCAAGTGTCTGTGTAGACATAAATTTCCATTTTTCTTGGGTCTGGAGC